GGGCCTGCTGGAGGGGCGGGGCCGCTGCCGCAGCGCGTAGGGGCGGGGCCTCCAGCCCAGTATATGTCACGCGGGTCGCGGTGGGGCCTAATTAAGGGCGCGTTTACACTTCCGAGGGAGTATTACGGGGTGGGGTCTTTTGTAGGGTTGGGATTTGGAAAGTAGTGGGCCTCTGGGGCTCACATTGGGCGAGAGGTATGTGGCATGGTCAGAGCGGGAGTGTGACGCAGCGAGGGGCTTGTGGGTGTAACCAGAGGGGCATGATGGAACCAGGGGGTGAGACTTTGGGTCACGGAAGGGGCGGGGCTCTTGACTGGGGCGTGGTTCCTGGGTGGAGATGGGCGGGGATTTGTGGGTGGAGCTTGGGTGGGCGGCCCCGCATTCGCGGAGGGGCGGGGCTTTGGGTAACAAGGGTTAGGGGTTACGAGGAGGTGTGGCTCCTGGGTACAATGGGAGGGGCAAGGCTTGTGGGTGGAGCCTGAGGGGTTGGTTGGGCTCGTGGAGGGGCGGGGCTTTGTGGGTGGTAAGAGGGTGGGGCTTATGGCTAAAGCAAGAGGTGGGGCTTCTGGAAGGGGAGAGACTCCTGGGTAGAATCGGAGGGGCAGGGCTTGTGAGTTCTATGGGGGGTTGGACTTCTGGGTATCAAGGGGCGAGGCTCGTGGGAGGAGCAGGGTTTCTGGGTGGAGCCTGATTGTGGGCGGGGCTTTGTGGTGGTAAGGGGGTGGGGCTTATGGCTAATGTAAGGGGTGGGGCTTCTGGAAGGGGAGTGACTCCTGGGTACAATCGGGGGGTGGGGCTCCTGGAAAGGGTGTGGCTCCTGGGTACAATTGGAGGGTCAGGGCTTGTGGGTGGAGCCTGGTGGTGGGAGGGACTTTGTGGGTGGTAAGGGGACGGGGCTTCTGGAAGGGGAATGACCCCTGGGTACAATCGGGGACAGGGCTTGTGGGAGCTTTAGGGGGTGGGACTTGAGGGTAACATAAGGGGCGGGGTTCCTGGAAGGGGTGTGGCTCCTGGGTACAATTGGAGGGGCAGGGCTTGTGGGTGGAGCTCAAGGGGTGGGATGGAGAGGGGGGCTCATGGGGAAGTGCGGGGGACTTGTGTCCTGCCAGAGGGTTTTCTCAACTTTGGGGTTAAGGGCAGGTCTTGGGGCCAAGAGCCCTGCGGGGTTCTCAGCGAGATGTCTCCTGAACTGTACCTGGCACCCGGCCTGCAGAGTCCTGTGAGCGCGTGGTGTGCCCGCGGCCACAGTCGTGCGTCGTGGACCAGACGGGCAGCGCCCACTGCGTGGTGTGTCGGGCGGCGCCCTGCCCTGTGCCCTCCAGCCCCGGCCAGGAGCTTTGCGGCAACAACAACGTCACCTACATCTCCTCGTGCCACCTGCGCCAGGCCACCTGCTTCCTGGGCCGCTCCATCGGTGTGCGCCACGCGGGCAGCTGCACAGGTGCAAACGCAGGGCGAGGGCACAGGCCTGTCCTGGGGGCCGGAGAACCCCCTGCCGGGCGCCCTCAATGCTCTTATCCACCCTTGCAGGCACCCCTGAGGAGCCGCCAGATGGTGAGTCAGAGGAAGAGGAAGAGAACTTCGTGTGAGCCTGCAGGACAGGCCTGGGCCTGGTGCCCGAGGCCGCCCCCCACCCCGTTATTTATTGCCACAGCAGAGTCTAATTTATATCCCACAGACACTCCCTAGGGCCTGGATTCGGACCACTTGGGGATCCCAGAACCCCCCTGGAAGGACTGAGGAAGGGAGGCCTGGGGGCCGGCTGGTGGGTGGGGTAGACCTGCATTCCGGACACCGAGCCCCTGATTTAGGGCCTTTTTCTAAGAAGCTCCAGCCCCTACCCTAAGACCTATTGCTGGGGAGTACTCCACACTTCTGCTCTGCTCCTTTGGGGATAAACCTGTTAATTATTGCTACCATTAAGAGGGCTGGACATTCCCTGCTGGTAATTCCTGAAGAGGCATGACTGCTTTTCTCAGCCCCAACCGTCCTAGAACAGGGGCCTTGGGCTTAGGCCAGGAGGAGCAGAGGAGGTCTAGCCTGGGTGTGTACGGAGGGTCTAGCCTGGGTGAGTACGGAGGGTCTAGCCTGGGTGGTCTAGCCTGGGTGTGTATGGAGGGTCTAGCCTGGGTGTGTATGGAAGGTCTAGCCTGGGTGTGTACGGAGGGTCTAGCCTGGGTGCATGTGGGGACCTCAGAACACTGTGACCTCAGTCCAGCAAGCCAGGCCCTTCATGAAGGCCAAGAAGGCTGCCACTGTCCTGCCAGCCCAAGAGCTCCAGGTTCGCCACTGCCTCTGTATGTCCCTTCCCATCCTGCGAAGGCCATTGAGAAATGCCCAGTGTGACCCATGGGAAGGGGCACGGCCTGTCCTCCTGACACGGGCCGTGCTCAGCCACAGAACCGCCCAGCGCCTACCCTGCTGCCGTCCACGGTCAGTTCACTAGGCGACATCACATGGTCTCAGGCATGCGGCAGCCAGCGGCAGCTCAGCGCAGGGCACTATGTCCAGCGGAGCCCAGTCCACTGTGGGGGGACTCCGGCAGGGACCACGGACCCCTGCTCACCCACTGGCCCCGAGGCGGGTGTAGACACCAAGACTCACACATGTGTGACATCTGGAGTCCTGGAGCCGGGTGTCCCAGCAGCACCACTAGGCGCCTGCTGCCTCCACAGTGGGGTTCACACCCAGAGCTTCTCGGTCCCCTACATGTAGCCCGCCCCGGCTACATGCCAGACCTGCCTCACCCACCAGCACAGCCGGAGCTGGCGACACCAGCCAGGTGCTGGTCTTGGGCCAGTTGTCCCACGACGGCTCACCCTCCCCTCCATCTGGGTTGTCGCTCAGAATTGCCTACCTGTGCCTGCGTGTAAACCAGAGCCTCAGACCAGCTATGGGGAGGGGACAACGTGGAGGAAATCCAGCTTCCCCGGTCTGGGGTGAGGAGTGCTGGGAGCTTGGGCATCCTCCTCCAGCCCCCAGGCAGTGCCTTACCTGTGGTGCCCAGAAAAGTGCCCCTGGGCTGGTGGGTCTACGGGAGCCTCAACCAGGCAGCCCTCCCCACCCTGGGGCCCTGCCTCACCAAAGAAATAAAGACTCAAGCCATTTTGGGGTGTCCAGGCCTCAGTTTGTCTCCTCTCTCAGGGCTTCAGGCCACCCCCTCGGCCATGGGATTGGCAGCCTGGGGCCTGGGGCCTGGGGTGCTGTGTGGGGGCTCTGGAGGCACCAGAAGAGAGACCCAGCATTAGTCCTTGGGCAGCCTCTGGCCACCTCTGGGCCTCAGTGCCTCTCCAGGCAGTGGACAAGCCCAGGAGGGGCTGAGGCAGTGCGGGAGGGGAGGGAGAGGAAATCGGCCTTTTGGGAGGGCACACAGGATAGACAAGATGGCTTAGGGCACCCCTAAGACACCAGCTGGCTTGGGGCCCAGAAATGGAGGCCCAGCCTTGAAGGACTTGGGTGAACAATAGCAGTAATAATAATAACAGGATTAGGGCCGGGGCAGGGTAGCTCACCCCTGTAATCCTAGCGCTTTGAGAGGCCAAAGTGGGTGGATCACTTGAGGCCAGGAGTTTCAGACCAGCCTGGGCAACATAGTGAGACCCCTGTGTATCTACATTAAAAAAAAAAAAAAAAGGTCAAGTGCCCCTGTAGTCCCAGCTACTCAGGAGGCTGAGGTGGGAAGATGGCTTGAGCCCAGGTTGTCAAGGCTGCAGTGAGCTAGGATGGCACCACTGCACTCCAGCCTGGGTGACACAGTGAGACACTGTTTCTAATATAATAATAATAGCATAATCAGCTAGCAGTGGTGGTTCATGCCTGTAATCCTAGCAGTTTGGGAGGCCGAGGCAGGTGAATCACAAGGTCAGGAGTTCGAGACCAGCCTGGCCAACATGGTGAAACCCTGTCTCTACTACAAATACAAAAATTAGCCGGGCGCGGTGGCTCAAGCCTGTAATCCCAGCACTTTGGGAGGCTGAGACGGGCGGATCACGAGGTCAGGAGATCGAGACCATCCTGGCTAACACTGTGAAACCCCATCTCTACTAAAAAAATACAAAAAACTA